TATAAAATTTACGTGTTAACTCTCTAGGTATCTTAGATACTAAAGACGTAAATTAAATAAGGAACATAAAAATATATAATTTATAATACCAAATTGCTTATTACACTAATTAGAATGCAAAACATGAAATTTGTTCTTTCACTGGTGTCAGTTCCTTCACTGGTGCCGTTACCCTATTTTGATATTGAAAAAAATAATGAGTCTTTGATAATAGTGGAAGCTGGCTTTTGGAATAATTTTTTAATATTGGATAACATTGGCATTAAAGATATTTAAATTTTGAGGATAAAATTAGTATTGAATATATTTTGATAAAGGGAAAAAATATTATATGTTTGATATTAGTTACTTGTACGATTAAAGAATAAATTTAATAAGAAATGGTTATTATCATTAATGGATAAAATAGATAAATTATTAAGGCAAATTAATCCTTCTGCTAAAGTTTTTAAAATGATAACAGAAGTAGAATTAGAAGAAGAAGCACTAGTAAAATCTAAAAATGAGCCTATAAGGAATACTTAAATGTGGATTAAAAGCTACTGAGCATTGTGTCAAAGCAAATTTAATGCTCTTTCTTGTATTAAAGTAGCACTTGTATTTGTTAGCGAAAATAGTGAACATCCTATGAAACGCTATATATGTATACACCCAAAGATTGTAAGAGTATTTACATTTGTAGTCTTATTGTTAGTGAAAATGTTGATCCCATGACATATCCTTCAATGTTTCTTTATAGTGATCCTGGATAGACTGTTAACCTGAAGCTTACTCAAGGTACTTGTAATTTTATTTTTTATCTAGAACTTTTTAACATTGTAAAGCGATTTCAAGTTTATGGGCCTTGCGGTAATCGAAATAGGAATTTATCTTGCATGGACCTTGAGATGGGTCATTTGAATGTATTTCTGACAATTTGATGATCGTACAATAATAGGTTATAATGATGATAATCAGAAAAAAAACAGAAGCTATGCGCAGATGACATTTACAAATTAACTAAACTGTTATATTATACTATAACACCATTATGCTAAAATAGTAATACAATAACAATTTCAAAAATAATCTTATTAATTTTGTGAGATAAAAATTCCAATAAATTTTCGTCAAAGAAAAAAATTTTTAATTTTGTTTAAAAAAAGATAGATATCACGCGCGTTTCTTTTAGCTAGTTCAATAATAATGAGAAATTTCAAGTGCTAACGGAATGTAAATGAACGAATGAATTAATACAAAAATTATTATTTTTTATAATATATGTAAAATGTGTTGTTAATATAAAATGGTAATCTGATACAGTGCCAGCATTTACCAGCGGATAGTTGCCAGGTTATCATCCATGACAGGCCCGGTACCAAACCGGCAGAAATGACGGTGTCGGCCGCTATTGAAAATTTCATTGGAGCTGATATTTCCCGGGTTATTATCCATGACCGGACCGGTTCCACGCCGGCGGAAATGCTGGTCTTCGGCCGGCACCGGCTGGATAATTAAAGTCCGCCGTTGGTACCGCCCCGGTACCATGATGATCGTCGGTTTCTGCTTGAGAAGATTTGTAGTCGTCTTTCTCCGGAGTGTGTAGGGGAATGTGGCGGGGCTAGTGACGAGCGTAGAGACGAAGTATGCCAAACGCAACTGAATATCCCAGCCTGTATTTTGCCTGCACGGAAACTCTGCCATTTTACTTACGTGGTTCCAACTGACACACACTGTCGTATATGTGTGCGTGCTCATACTAATGTATGCACTATTATTCTAAATTAACTAGATTAAAAATTTTCAAAATTAATAATTTTTCTGTTAGAATAAAATTTCTTAAAATTTTATTTTTCGAAAAATGAAAAATATTTAAATTTAAAAAAAAATTCAAAATTTCTGCAAATAAACAAATTTGAATTGATTTTGTTGAAAAAAATGTCATATTTTTTTAAAACAGAAAAATATTCAATTCACGAAAAATAATTTTTTAACATTCAGGATCGTTTTATAATTTGTATTACTTTTCAAGAAAATGTTTTAAAAAACAAACTTCTGTTTTCTGAAAAAAATTTCTATCTCTTCTAAAAGTAGCCAAAATTTCCTTTTTTATAACTCATTATAGCGTTGTAACTTTTATATTATATCTTGTGTACGAAAAAGAAAGAAAACTGCGTTGAAATTTTTTTACTTTTTCGGGTTTATACGTCGATTTTTTAGGAATCTTTCATAATCACTTTTACCTCGGAAATGGACTCTTCCGAAGGCTTTGATGGGTTGCAACTTGATCAGTATATCTTGTGCAATAGAAAGAAACAAAACTGCGTCGAAAAAGTTTTACTTTTTTGGGTTTTTACATTGATTTTTTAGGGTTTTTTTTTTTTTTAAATTCGTTTTTGATAACTTTTACCCCGAAAACCGACTTTTTGGAAGCCTCTGATGTGTTGTACCTTGAGAAATATATCATGTGCAATAAAAAGAAACAAAACTGCGTCGACAAAATTTTACTTTTTGTGATTTTAGGAATTTTTTGTATCCTTAGTCTCAAGGATTAAGAATGTAATGTATTCTCAATAATATGTATTCGGCGAATATTTGGGGATTTGCAGTTAGATATGAAATTGGATTGCCAAAATTATCAGCTATTTTATTTAAATTGGTTTTAAACTTCATTGAAAAAATTTTTCCAAGGAAGACAATAGATATATACCCCAAACTTTGTTTTCTTCTTTTAAAAAATCATTCTATAAATAGCAATATCTCTAAAAAATTTAATTGGTGTAAACAGGTGGTATATTTTTTTGATTGTATTGAAGAGACAAGTAAATAGAAAAACATTTCCCTGAGTTAACACGATTGTTAAATAATTTTTCGCCAAGAATATCAATTTAGGAAAATCACGTTAAGTTAAATGTGGCTGGATTCTGCAATGGATGCGGAGTTGAGTCCTCGTAACTATTGTACCATATATTAAACCCCCTTAACATTTTTTTTATTAAAAACGCCAAGAATTTTTGATCGAATTAATAAATATTTGTATGGTTTAATTCAATTTTTAAATCTTTCATAGCCTGCGTAGAAATGGAACCATGGGTAAAATCATAAAAACCATAGGCGAAATCGATTGCCAAGGTAAGAACGATTAGACCCATTGTTTAAACCTTGGCAAAAATCTTAAAAACCATTGCTCATGTCCGTTTCCCATGGTACAATTTCCCATGGAAATTTTTTTTTATTTTACACATTTTTGACCATTGCTAAAATCTTGGAAACCATGGGAAAATTAATTTTTTAAATTTACTAATTTTTGACCATTGTTAAAATCTTGGAAACCATGGGAATTTTTTTTTTAAATTTACGGTTTTTGGACCATTGCTAAAATCTTTGAAACCATGGGAAAATTAATTTTTTAATATTAAGTTCTTGGACCATTGCAAAAAGCACGCGAAACATGAAAAATTAATTTTAAAATATTTCCAATGGTTTGCAAGTTTTTAACCATGGTCCAAAATCCGTAAAATAGAAAAAAAATATCCCATTGTCGCAAGATTTTAGCAATGGTTCAAAATCAATGAAATTAAAAAATTAATTTTCCCAATCGATTTCGCCTATGGTTTTTATGATTTTACCCATGGTTCCATTTCCACGTGGGAGGGTGGTTTACCCCCTCAACATTTTCCGATTGGTGTGGGAAAATTATACCTATTTTTTATTAGAGGGAAACTTTTGCATTTGGTTTTATTAAAAAAAATATGCTCTTTTATATGAACTAGTAAAATCGAGACCCAACACACTAATCTTCAAGGGGTTGTTCCACCCCTTAAACCGTCTTATGGGCACGTATAAATAATACATGTCTCTTAGTTTTTAGTCCTCTACAACATATATCAAGTTTAAGCAAATTGGCGATACACACCTCGAGTGCCTTCTTTGTAAGTTATGCCAAAAATACGATTATTGTAGATTTTCCCGAAAACCTTTTTTCCGAAGGCCGTTCTACCTAATGCATTTATATCTATAGCAACCGTAATAAATATTATTTGTGACATGTCAGGCTATAAAAATTGCACATTAGTGTTCCTTAATTCTTATAGTTAGTTGTATTTCAAAATTCTTAGTTAATTTGCGCAATGGCAAAAATAGTGGGAAACAAACTTTTTTGCGATGGGTTTGCAGAAACTTGCCTCCTAACCCAAAATCATTTTATGATTTAATCGAAATTCCAGATGGTTTTCAACGAACACTTGCCGGGGAAAATTTTTTAATTCATGACTAGAGAGAAAATAGTAGAGTTCTTGTAATTTTTGAATTTATATACTGATTTGGTTTCGTTTACTTACACATTTTTATAAATTTTCATTTACAAATATTAAATTTTTTTTATTTTCGGGATCTTGTCAATTCGGTAAAATGGTTGGGAAACCAAAAATACAGTTAAACTCTTTTGAATTACGATTTGACAGTTTAAGTTTTAAAGAACCTGTCAACGCTATTTTAATTTGTACATCGTTATAGAACTAATTTCACTAAAAATACATAAATTTTTAACCATAAATACTCTCTGAATCTGAATTAGTAGTTTTCTACTAATGAAAGAGTGCGGATTCGTTTACCAATTGAATCAGTAACAGTTTTGACTCTTTTTTAGTAGAAAACTACTAATTCAGATTTAGAAAATAGTGAAAAGCGCTACTTAGTGACTAGTGCTTTTCGTAAACCGACTACTAGATTAAATAATTTTTTATACTGCTTAAATGGGATAAAAAAGGACCGATGTATCAATTTGTTTTTTGTTACGTCATTTGTTATGTATCCTGCACTCTAGAACATCGTTCCATGTGCAATCAGTATAAAAATTATATCAATCCTAATATTCACAAAAAAGAAAGAATTTACATTTTTAAAATTAAAATATACAAATTTTTATACTCTAAACATCAAAATGCTTTTCTTAGTAATTAGCGCTATTCGCATTGTTTTTTTTCATTGTAATAATGATACCATATTTTTTACGCTTTTAGATGCCTCAATGAATTTAGTTTTATTTGTCGATCAGCAACATATAATGCAGTTGTCAGAAGTTGTTCATTGAGTCGATTCACAAGACGTTCTTATCCTGACTTTTTAGAGGATGATCCTAATTCAGATTATCTAGAAAATACTTGTTTAACTGGTAAGAAAGAAATTTGTTTTTTATCATTTTGCAATACAAATGTTATAATCTAATTTTTCTGTACATAATTTATGCTTTGTAAAAGAAAAATAAAGTTTCTGTAAGAGATACATAAATCTTAGTTGTGATAGAAAATTTTTAAAGTTTTTGACACAAAATGTAAAGCTCCACGTTAATGAAAAAAACATCAGAAGAAGGAGGGAGGAGTGTTAAAATTTTGAAAAAAAGTTTCACATGCTTTATGCACGACCCTCCTTAAGGGCAAGTCCAACATGTGAAATGTAAACAAACATGAAAGGTAAACAAACCATGCACATTTTTTCGCACTTCTCATTTGCGTAGAAAATAAAAATTTGTCGTTTTCTTTATGAAAATGGTAAATTAATGTATTAAAGTTGGTTACTATACTTTATTTAACTAATTATATGAAAAAATAAGTACAATTATAATGAAATGAAAAGTACACTGAATTAGCAATTTTTTCAAGGTTTTGAAAAAAAAACCATTTGAGTATATCTGAGGCACGGACATTGAGCGCCTAGGTGGGAGAAGAATGTTGAGCTATTGGCCATTGGCCTCAGATATACTCGAATGCCTAAATTTTTCGTAACCTTGAAAAAATTCATATTTCAGTGTACTTTTTATTTCATTATAATTATACTTATTTGTTCACATAATTAGTTCAATAAAGAATAGTTACCTAGTCTAATATATAAATTTACCATTTTCACAAAGAAAACGACAAATTTTTATTTTCTACACAAATAAGAAATGCGAAAAAATGTAAGAAAATTAGTAATTCAGTGAACTTTTCATTTTATAATAATTATACTTATTTGTTTAGAAAAGTTGTTAAAAGAAGTATAGTAACCTAATACAATATATCAATTTACCATTTTCACAAAGAAAGTAACAAATTTTTATTTTCTATTCAAATGAGAACTGCGAAAAAAATGGGTATGATTTGTTTAGATTTTGAACAGTTTTTTCGCAGTTCTCATTTGAATAGAAAATAAAAATGTGTTAATTTCTTTGTGAAAATGGTAAATTGATATATTGTATTAGGTTACTATACTTCTTTTAACAACTTTTCTGAACAAATAAGTATAATTATAATAAAATGAAAAGTACACTGAATTAGCAATTTTTTCATTTTTTTTCGCACTTCTCATTTGTGTAGAAAATAAAAATTTGTCGTTTTCTTTGTGAAAATGGTAAATTTATATATTAGACTAGGTAACTATACTTTATTGAACTAATTATGTGAACAAATAAGTATAATTATAATGAAATAAATAGTACACTGAAATATGAATTTTTTCAAGGTTACGAAAAATTTAAGCATTCGAGTATATCTGAGGCACGGACGTTGAGGACTTAGGTGGGAGAAAGTGAGAGAAGGGGTAAAATTTCAGAATTTTACCCCTTCCAAGATGTGACCGTCCAATGGCTCAACATTCTTCTCCCACCTTGGCGCTCAACGTCCGTGCCTCAGATATACCCAAATGGTTTTTTTTCGAAACCTTGAAAAAATTGCTAATTCAGTGCACTTTTCATTTCATTTTAATTGTACTTATTTTTTCATATAATTAGTTAAATAAAGTATAGTAACCAACTTTAATACATTAATTTACCATTTTCATAAAGAAAACGACAAATTTTTATTTTCTACGCAAATGAGAGGTGCGAAAAAATGTGCATGGTTTGTTTACATTTCATGTTTGTTTACATTTCACATGTTGGACTTGCCCTTAATTGAAAATTCCTTTACAAGATCTTGTACAGGCTTTAGTACAGGAACATTTAAAGGGTCTGGTAATAGAACTTACACATCAACTTAAATTTGAATTTCGGAAAGTTCTTGTGCAAGATCATGTACAGGATTTTGCAATTGTAAGGGAGACCGGGGATTCATACTATGCGCACTTTTCACTCTTTTTTGTTTAAGGAGTTAGTTTCACATCTCAGTGACTTCTTAAACATTTTTTTTATTACAAAATTTATTTTATTTACTTCAAACTATTTATATCTAAAAAAAGGGGTTTTAAAATATTGAATAGAATTTTTTATTACTTATTTATAATTGTCACGTCCCGAGCTAAGGTAGAATATATTTATTATTTATAATAACAAATTAGAGACAAGTTGCTGATTAATCAGGTTGGTAAAACCTGATATTTATTTTTAATGTAGGATCGTGTCACTTTGTCAAAACTAAGGGTTTTGTGTCAAGCGATTAAAGAAAAATATTCCTTTTCATGATTTGCAATTTATTAATAACAATATATAATTACAATAGTAGTTACAATTGATTCGTTAAAAGTTAGTAATGTAACAAGCTGCAATCAGGATTACAAATATGTGTCTCTGGATGCGTTGTTATACAAATCATAAATTGTTACACTTACACAATTTAGATTTTATACGACAGTTAAGAATTATTTAACTCGAACAAAAGAATTATATTGTTTAAAATAAAAAGAAACTTGTTTCTCTTTTGCAAAACTATTGTAAAACTCACTAAACTCGCGGGTTTAAATAACGAAGTTTAAACAATTACAAAACTGAAGGACCGATTCTTAGACACTGTTCGGACAGAAGCTCGTCCGATTAACTGACAATTCTTATAGAAAAATGGGGGTTTATATACTAATTCATTGATGTATCATATTTTGCAAAAACCGCAAGAATCACGTACAGTATCTTAATAGCGCAACAGTCACGTATTCTTGCCGATTTATATAAAACACGTATAAAGTATCAAAGAACTTTTTATTATTATGCCTATGAATTTAATGTTTAATTTAATTTACTAATGACAATCAAAACTATTATATATCTGCATTAGTTTTCCTGTTGATTATTAATTAGTTGATTGTAGTCACTTAGGATGTATAGTGATCGACAATTGGTATTATGAAAAATAATATTAATATCGAGTAGTGATCAATAATCTTATTAAATTCTTTAATCTACTAATATATATTCCGCATTCAGAGGTGTTATATTACATCTGTCTTTCACTATTACCATCGTGAATGACTCATATGTATGTAATGACTTTTATTTAAAAGAGATAATTTAATTTGTTCAAGATCCATTCTTTTAAGAATTTTTTGGTACTGGGATGTAACAGTCCTCCCTCTTATTCTTTTCATCGTCCTCGATGAAATTTTAAAACAACTTACTTTTTTAAAGGATGGATAATGAATTTTTGGTTATATGTTATGGTTAATTATACGCATGTAGAAAAATTATTTAATACATCTTTTGATATATCATTGTTACGAGAAATATTTTGAATAACATTTTAAAATTGAATGCATTGAATCTTATGAAAATATCTTGTTACGTCAAAACAGGGTACTTATCTCGAAAAATTGATGGAACACTTAAAAGATTTGAGAATTTTCTTTCCAAGTATTTCGTTTTCCTCTCTTCTTTTGTTAACATTGTCGAAGACCAATTTATCTATTTGTTTTGGATAATTATTTGATGATTTAATTGGATATACATTTTATGAACATTTTGCATGTCCATAATTATATGTAACAATTTGATTAGTGTTATATTGTTGATTATCCCAGTACTAAGTGCTGGCCTTGTATTTGATTCTTAGAACTTTTTGTCGTTGTTCTTGTGAAGAGAAATTGTGACATGAATTGTAGAGGTGATAAGTTTGTTCTCATACTGATTAATCAGGTCATCTAGATTAAGGTGTCGTATAATTCTGATGTTTTCGATTCGAAGTTGAAAGATGGTTTTGAAAGAAAAATTGATTTCACGTGAAGGGTTAAAAGGGAATTTATCTGAATTTGTGGTGAATTTTCTTGTATTTTATTTTGTAAAATGTGTACTTCAATTATGTAGTTATTTGCATTTAAGAAGTAAAATGCATCTCCGAGAATTTCGTTAATTAATATAATTTTTCTCTTTTTTTTACAGATTTACTATTGGGGAGTATGATTTCAGCTTGATTCCTTTAATATAAAGCGCACGTTTACATTAATTTTTTTTAACTTTTATTGACGCTAAAATAAAATAAGAATTTGATTTTTGAGTGATCAGCATTCATATGTCGAATCAAAAGTATTTGACTTGTGAATAGAAATTAAAGTTTAAATTTTAAATATTTAATATAATTAATGACCTTGTATAATCAACAAATTATTTTCATTAATCATACTTTATTAAATTTTTAGAATTGTTTTATTTCTTAATAAGATTGATTTTGTTTCCTTAATTGTTGTTTATACTTTATTGATTATTAAAGTTTGATTTTGTTTAACATTGGTTTTTTTTATTTTGACATACATGACGTTGCGCATGTTGAGTGTGTAGTCGATATGTCATTGTTGGCTTCGTTGTTTGAAATTCTTAGAGTGGTGCTGTTGTAGAATAAAATTTTTTTTTTGATTTTTGTGTTGTCCTCCCTCCTTATTGTATCCATTGTCCTCAATGGGTTGTTAGTTGATGTTGAGATAAAAATTGTATTTTCGAGAATATTATTTTAAAACTTAGCATCTAAGTATCGAGTTTTTGTCGTCTGAAAACTTTCTAATTTATTGATCAGGTGTATTTGCCAGTGACGTCAAGAAACTATTAGTATGAAATGTAGGGCCGATTTTTATTGCGGTATTTCAGGTACTCCAAAGAGGAGGCTTATTTTTCAGTTCTATCATGCTTTTCGTAGGGATAAGTTCGCACTGGAGCACGTCTTGTATTAAAATATAAGTTTTTCTGAATGAACATTTATTAAACAGTTCTGCTTTTTGAATCATATCCTTAACAGGTTATGGGCCCGGACTACGTTGTTTAGTAAAAATTAGTAAAGTCCAATTTTAAAAATGGAAATGAAAATCGAGAAACTACGTGATAAAGATAATTGGCATCAGTGGCGGTTTGTTCTACGCACTCTGTTAGAAAATGAAGACGATTTGTTAGATGTGTGTGAGAAAAAATTAGTGAAACCCGTTAATGGAGCAGCAAATTATGAAGCT